ATGGGGTCATATTTTATTCTTGTGCATGCCTGACAAAGACCAGAAATGCCAACAAGAGCCAAATTTCACATTTTGAGCATCATTCAAGTGATCAAAGACTATAGGTGACTTTTTATGTTTTAAAGGGATAGATTTGTGTTTTCAAAGTGGGGCTCTGTTCCAAAATTACAAGCATGTTATATCTTACCTGCAGTAAATCACTCTCTTGGTTGTAGTCGTTTAGTGTGAATTCAAATTAGTCGGTACACCTCTTTACTTTTCTGATGTTCCATCACTATATATTTTCAGATCTGATCTGCTGTTCACCTTTTCCCACAGAACTTTGTTTTAAAAATTGCTAAAAGTCCATTTACTCTACTGTCCTCAAACAAAGTGATAAAAGTCACAATATGCAGACCTCTACCAGTCTGCAGGCTTGCTGCTAATCACTAAGCGTCATTCCACCTCTGCAGCTGATGCGACTTGGCAGCTTTCGCGTTGCTGACTCCCAAACTGATACATTTGGCAAAGTTGCCGCCCTGTTCAAACTCGACTTGACTGAGCGTGCTCTGCTGAGCCAACAGAAAACGACGATGACTCATAACGACAGCTGAAACCGGAGTTCTAATTTAAGGCTGCCATTAAAAAGACATTATAGATCACTAATGAAACATGGAGACAGGGATGGGAAGCTGTTTACATCAAATGGTGACCGAGCTGGTGTCAAACGTAATCCCTTATTCCTTCCATTAAAGGGCTTTGATTGAAATGCAGATTGAAAGAGAAAAGAGATCCGTTTCTTCCAGAGCAATTGTAGCTTGAAAGTAAGGGGAAACATACACACACACACACACATTTTGATAATACAGAAACTTTCTCTTAGGTTTGGAATGAAATTCGCAGAGAAAAAAAAATGTACTAGCCAGTGTTCCTTTATAGCGTGTGCAGGTACTAGGGGAAACTAAGAAACATTTGGCCATTCAGCTTCGCTGAATTCAATGTCATTGGGGTGCTTTGAATTTCTCCTCTGCCTGGAATATGCGGGTAAACCAGTAGATGGCGGTAATGCTTACCTGACGTTTCTCTTGCCAACAGCCAATAAAAAATCAAGAAGACGATGCAGGCGTAATCCAAAGATTCAAATTCGATGATGGCGACAACTGTTGACAACTTGACTGATGGATTTGGAAGGGAAATCTATTGGCACATCAACCACACCAAGAATGTTTTTCACCAGCTGCCACTGGTTTCCACTGCCCAGCACTGCACCCTGATCTGTGGGGTTCATTTATGAAATACGTCGTCTGGTAGCCTCATTTGTTTCATCATCATTTCACCATCGTTGACATTAAAACAGTTTGAGACAAACACTCTGAGTAACTGATTCATAAAATGTTTATGGGGTTATAGATTTCAAACAGAAACTACGTGATGGTTGAATGAGTCTTGTTAAATCTGTCTGCTTGGATTTTTCTAATCTATTTATCTGACTACGGGCAATGAAAGTGATTTTTATAGCATTGTGTTGAACAAAGGACATAATGATTAGAAGTCTTTTTTAATTTGCTTTCAGACATTATTCAAAAAGCACAAGCTGCAGAAGATAATGAGCACACATAGTGAAGTGTTCACAGTACATGAAGACACTGCTCTAGAAAAAACAAAAACATGAAAACATGCAACTTAATGGAATTTGATGTAGCCAAATATCTATCAGGAGTCCAATCACCAATCTGCAACGGAGTAGGCCCCTTTTCTAGAGCTAAGATGTCCCGCCAAATTTTGTACACCTTTTTAAAAGCAGTTAGTTTTCTTGTGAGGCAATTACAACATACACTACACTTGTAAAAGTTTTCATTCACCCATCCAATCATCAGGTGTTTGAATCAGGTGTTTTATGGCCAAAGGTGCCAACTTTCTGCCATCAATGTCTCCAGACCTCCTTCATGTGGTCAGCAGGGGTCGAGTTTGGTGCTGGAGTCAAGGATAAAATATGTCCCCAAGGGGGTAAAGGTGTGGGGGGCTGCTTTTGTAAGAGATGGGCTCAACCTTTTCATATCAAACCCCATGGATTAATAAATGGATGTCTCTCAGGTCCATGATTAGTGAAAACATTTAGCAACGTAAAGCTAAGGTTGGAGGACTCTGGCCGAAGTTTGATTTGCAATTGACATGAGTAAAAGACTCATACAATATGCAGGATTTGATTAGATAGGAAATGTTTGAACCGAAATGAATAATGTTTGATAACTGAATCGATTGTAATGTGTATGTATAATTGGATTTAATTAACTTTTCTTTTTTTTTTTGGTAAAGTGCCTTGAAATGATATTTCTTGTGAATTGGCGCAGTACAGGTAAACTGAATTGAATTTGTGACAAAATCTCTTCACAGCAACATACCTGCGCACACATAACCCCACACTGTTAGCCAAGATGTTTTATTGCATCCTCATTTTTTCATTATTTTATTTTAACCTCCCATTGCGCCCAGACCTGACAGCGAGAGCAGGAGGCGGACTGTGATTTAGTTGCAGTTAGGTGGCAGAAAGCCGAGGTCCGCAGCTCAGCTTTATCAGAGGTGCTTTGTCTTACCGTGGGGGACATGAGAACTCATTTAGGGTGTTGCCAGAGATGGCCTTGCACCGGCCTACGGCACGGCTGAATTACTGTCACGCTGCAGCTCCTGTATTCCTCTCTATTTATCTGTGTGTGTGTGTGTGCGTGTGGGTATGAGGGGATGTGCACACTTACGTAGAGAGAGACTCTGTGGCTGACTGTCATTTTGAATACTCATTGACGTCACCGATGCTTGCCAACACACAGATACGGGTCGTCATAGGTGTCATCTTTATATCTTCAGGAATTTGAGTTAAAAAGACAAGAAAAAACAGCAGCCTGTTAAAACCAAGAAAACAAACAAACAAAAAACGCTAATCCTAGACTGACTGGTTTCTGTTCAAGATCCCTTGATGCTTCATTTTATGGCATTGCTATGGCGACTGGTGATCCAAACTGATTTAGCGGGCAGGTTTTTGCCGACCGCTGCGGTTGAGGTGGGCCGATGTCTTTGTAGTCTTGTTACCTCCCTGCCAACAAAAGCTTATTGACTGTACTTAATCTTTCATCACCTCATAAACCAAAGTGTAATCTGAGCCGTTCTGTCTACAGCACATGTGAGCATTTTTTAGTACAGAGGGAGAGAGATCTAAAGAAGCTGTAAAAGAAAGGATTGGTATGGCGATACCTCTCTTGAGATTTGTTTACATCTTCTACAATACCTCATTGGACATGGCGACAAGATAAACTCATGTCCCTCCTTTTATTTGTCTCTGTTCCAGTTGTTCAATAATTTATCTGGGATGTCTGTAAGTTCATGCACTTATTCTCTATGACAGCGTTCTAGTAAATTTCCCTCAAGAAACGTAGAAATTTTGAGGTTAATCACTGAAATTTTCTGGAAAAAATGAGGATGTCTCTGAGCTTGAAAAGTCTCAAATTTGTGAGGCAAACTCAGAAAATTGAGACTAATCTGAGAAAGTTTCTAGAAAATACGAGGACATTCGGAGCGTCGTGTGAAAAGTCAGTCCAGGCTGGGAAGGTGGATCAACCCCATCCACTGGTGGGTCTACGCCTTACCACAGACACGAAAGTCTGAGAAATTTCTAAGTCCACACATTCGGCTGGAGGTAAGAAACTTCTCAGTTTTTGTGAAATGTGTGTTTCGTGCAGGTTGGCAACCTGTGCGTCTTGTTTATTACAACCATAGGTGCCATCACCATTTGACAGAATAACACTTTAACCTGGTTGATTCACTTCGAAGATGTAGATGATTTCCTTTTTGAGAAATTTCAAAAGTTTGCTTAGGAATTTGTGTGACAATTGGATGAAAATAGAACGAACAGCTTCTTTCTTGCCTCCTTCTCCATAAAGGCCAGAGTTGTATTAAAAGATTCGCCCAACGGAGTTGAGGATCCCTGTTGCCGTGGCAATCTAAGTTAGACCTCATCTTCTTACTTGGCCTATCAGATTAGGCCTCAGTGCCACACGTTAGCAGGGTTGGGGTTGTAGTTTTTCTGTTTTTGCACTGAGAAGTTCATTCCAGTCTTGGAATATCGTTTTAAAACATTCTCTCTGACCTTTACGCTCTTCCTCTTGGTCTTCTTGATGCTATTTGTTTCCTAATATTCTCCAAATAAACCTATGAGGCATTAATCGTTTATGTTCACATGTGAATCTTACACTGATCAGAACCCTTAATTTCAAGCAGAAGAAAACGTTGCAGTGACAGAAACCCTTAAAGAAGTTCAGAAAAGGACGTTTCGTATTGATTTATTTCTCTGTTTCGTGGGAAATGTTAGAGAACGGCAGACTAGCTCTTAATCTAGACAGTGTTTGGAATAACTTTTGTCTCTTGACTCACATTACGACGTTCTTTTTCCTGTCCCAAGTGTTTTTCAGATGAATGTACCTTTTAAATCTGCTCTAGATTAAAAGTGCAGTTGTTTAGGTGCTATTTTGTTCCACAGTTTTTATTTTTAGAGTGCGTTTCCTCATGGAGCTCCTTTTGTTTCATCATCATTTCACAGTCGCCAACATTAACACAGTTTGAGACGAGCAGTCCGAGTAACCGAGCCATAAAATACACGTGTTTATGGATTTATTGATGCTGAGCAGAAAATTTTATATGGCTCCACTGAGTCATATAAAATTAGCCTGCATATATCAAGCCATTTTCCAAATTTGTGTGCTTGGATATAAGTAATGAGGATGTTTTCATTTTCTTTATTAGAGCTACATAAGTGAGTGAGTCAAAGAGTAAATATCTTTATTTGCGTACTTTCAGAAGAAAGTACACAATGTTAAGTATCCTGTTGTCGCCACAAGATTATCACACATGTATCATAGCAACGAAGAACGTTAATCGGTCAGCTGAAAGTACGTTTGCCATAATTATCCTGCATAAAGACAAAACTCAAGACAGACTGCATTTTTTAAAATTCTTTTAACAACCAACAAATGAAAAAAAGAAGTAACAAATTGGATATAAAACTCAAGAAAACGGTCAGGTATAAAGTTTAAATGGTCCATAGAACGTATGGTGCATCGTACAGCATAAAAACATCATGTGAAGAGAAAAGCAAATCATTTGCATACTTCAAGTTGAGGAAACGCATATGGAATTAAGGGTAGTCATGTCAGGTTTTACCTTGTTAAACAGGTTAATAAGGTTTCTCCTTATTAACGATATTAGCTACGTATAATGTGCACCTAGACATTTAGAAGCAAATAAACATATATGTGGGTCGACTTATTCCAGAAAGGATTACATAAGTTCAATAGTGTATCTGTAAAGGGTTAGCTTAGCAAAAAAAGAGGTACTGAAAATGTCCTTGACTGACTCAACTATGGATGTGAATTTCTGTAGGTTATGCTCATGAATGGTGGATGAAAAACGCAAAATTTTTCCTCATGTTTTTTTCTTTGGTTCTTTGTGAAAAGTCTCCATCCAGCGAAGCTTGAAGTCTGTTAATCCATTAGCCTCCATTTTAGCTTGCAGCTGAATGTCAGATAAAACAAAACCTGTGTCAGGGTGTTAAGAACTTTTTGACGATAGAGTGTTCATTTACAGTACTTACCTGCTGCAAAATCTGCTGCTGGGCGTCGGGGTCATTAAGGTCGGCCTCAGACTGGAAGCGCAGCTTCAACTTCCTACTGGATGGAATCAGAGTCTGACAGATGAACTCGTGCTCTTCACTGCAGTCAACATCCCACCAGGTTCTGGTGCTCATACCCACAGCAGCGCAGGAAGTCATGTTGGTGCTGCCTTTGTTGTCAGGCTGGCCCGTCTCCCAGTTAGTGAAGGTCAGTGGGCTGTGGTCAGACCAGTTAGCCCACAGGTCTCTGTAAAGGCCAATCCAGTGGTTCCTCTCAATCATTGGGTGGATTTCATCATTCTGAGACGAGTTCCACACTCTGACCAGGTCCGTGTGTTTGGACCGACAGTAGTTCTTAGCATCTTCCCAAATCATGAATGTAGACACCACAACATGTTTCGAAGGGCCATGTTCTACAAGACAAGAGAAAGACAGCAAAAAAATAAACTTCACTTATGTTCTCTTTTTTAATGTCCCGGTCAGAAAGTGGGAAAGTGGGGGCTCGTCCGGTCAGACCGTCAATTTCTGAAACTGCACAGAAATAAAAAACCTTATGAAAGCGAGGACCGATGTTCTCCGATTTTATTTTGAAAACATTTTACAGCATTGTTGGCCTTTTTTACACAATAATTTGACATAAAGGGAGCAGATAGAAGGGGGTAAAGATAAGCAGCAAAGAACTGAGCGCAGGAGTCGAACTTGGGATGGATATGTCTCTATACTGTGAATGCGGAGCGCCTGCTCTAACCACTGCAGCGTACGGCGCCGCAAAAGTATTAACCTTTCATGGTTTAATTGATAGCAGATTTGTGAAGTGAATATTTAAGGGTTTTTTAATTACCTACCGTCAAAGCAGATAAAAGGGCGCTCTGTGTTGCAGATTTCATCCCGCCATTCTCCAATCAAATTCATCACTATGCAGCTCTGCTTGCCGCCATAGTTGTCAGGCTGATTTGCTTCCCAATGTGGGAAATTGTTATTGCCAACAAAGTCATCGTCTCCCATTGTCCACTTCCAGCCCGTTGTGTTGTCGTAAAGCCCGATCCAGGCAAACTGTCCAGATCCCTGCAGTTCCAGGAGCAGTCTGTCGTTTTCCTCTGGGCTGTCCACGGTGGCCAGGTCGGCGTACGTCTCTCTGCAGTACCGCTGAGCTGCAGCCCACGTCTTGGGGCTGCTCACATAGTGGTACTTTCGAAACAAGTTCGTAGCCAGAACATAAACCCCCGCTGGACAAGGATAATGATAAAAATAACTATGAAGCTTTTTTATTTTAAGAAAATGAAAACATTGCTTCATTTTCCCCCTGAAAGAAAACTCACCTGACAAGGTGAGAACTAGTAGCAGTGTCTTCCTCATCCTGTCAATTTAAACATTTCAAATGTAAAATTTTTTTTATTGTGGGTTAAAAAACAAAACAAAAAACATGTAGATCACATATCCTATTTATATGAAGAGAAAAGTCAAAAATAAAAACTGTATGAACATTTAGGATTGATAATATTTTGATAATATTGATAATATTTTGGACAATTAACATTTTAGAGATATCTCTTTTAAGTTTAAGACTCAATGAAAGCTTTATTTCTAATTTGTCAATAAAAGCAAAAAAAAAAAAACAACCATAACGACAAAAAAGGCATGATCAAATAAGAAATACACAACAGGCTTACTTGGTCTTGAAGAGAGCTCTGGTATCCTGCTTGGATCTTTGCTTCGATGAAAAGATTCTGCTTACTTTTATAATGTTTCTCCTCCTTATTTTAAGTACTTGAACACAACCTGAGTAATTTTCTGCTTTCATTAGAACAGGATGTAAAACAAATACAAATGAACTGTGTGAAATGAGGTGGCTAACCTGGGCCCTGTCATTAGGGAAAATACTGTCCGGAAGACATTTAGTGGTTGTTAATAGCGCAGATGTTTTGTGTTTTCCATTTTCAAGGCGAGCATTCAGCGAGGCATTATTTAAATATAAAAAGGAAGAAGCTTGGCTCCTAGCAATGCACCGTATCTGTGTGTTTCTAAGCCAAATTTAGCGAAATCCAACAGTTAGTTTCTGCTCTGTTTTGAATTTATTTTTAGTCATCAAAATACAATGTAATGTCAAAGACATGCAGAGATAGAACAACAAGCAGTTTTCAATATATTTTATTTATTTAAGGACAAAAGCTTTATACACCAAGCTAATACTCATGGTAGCAATATCTCTTAGTTAATGGTTTGCAATGCTGTTGGGGTATTTTTATTTTATCTTTTAGACTCGTCTCTCTTCAGCCTCACTGGAGGAATTTTAAGCATTAAATCTTTCGTTTGCATCTTTTGCAAAGAAATATTTTACATATTTGCTAAAACTATCAAACTAAGATGAGATGGTGAAAAGATCAATCTTCTCCACCTCCTCCATGTGCTGCTGTTGCCGTTCATTTCAGGCTCTGCTGATGGGGAGAAGCAAACAGCAAACAGGGGAGCGGAACACACACGAGCCTGATTGACAACGCTAAGACCCTCCTCCTGGCTCTGATTGGTTGGTTAGTTAGCACTGGGAGAAGGCAGAGACTTGTTTTTAAGTTGTTTTTTTCTAACTTTCAATTAAAGATTTGTAAATGTTTGTGTCCTTACCTCAAGGAGAACGGATCAGTCAAATGAACGGGTGAACGTCACACGCTTTTGTTCTTGTGGCGTATATATTTTAAAAAGATTTAAAAATAAAAGTAGGATGTAGAAGAACACTGCAATTATAAATTTGACATAATATGTCACATAAAGCTCGAATTTTAACACATGCTTTAGACAAGCATCTTTTTAATGGCATAAAAACTACTGGGAATCCATTCAAAGTGGCAAATAAGAACATAGATTAATTTATTTTCATTCTCTTTGTAAGAATTGATTAGATGAGCAAAACCACATGTAAGTTTGTGTTTAAATGACAGAAATATAATTTTTTCCCCCCAATGGTTCTTTAAATACCAGAAGCCAGCAGACAAAACTAAAGAGGCTGATCATGTAGTTTCATTACGATCTACATTATGACACATGATATTTATTTATATTATACACCCATAATGCAGCTAGTTGGCTTCCATTAAAATATGTCTTTTCCTAATTTAATTCACAGTAAATTTACTCTTTTTTAAAAATCTGTGATTGATTTTTGGTGAAAACACACAAATCAAAATTCATGAACATAAAATTCCTTATCTTTTAAGGTCAAATAGATTTTTTTTTCATGCCGATAAGACTGAGTAAAGTATGTCATCATGCATATTTTACTCCAACAATTCTGCAATTAAAATTCAAATTTTGTGACAATCTCCTTTTGAACTAAATATATTATGTCTGTTAGCAGTCTGTATTAACCTCACACTGAGGGTATTTGCTTAAAACAAAAACAAAATGTGTAAAAATCTCAATGTTAATGTTTTGCACCACAAATGACAAATTGTGACGTCAATAAGTTCACACATTGTATTGATGGTTTGATCCGATTTATTGAGTCACTCAATCATTTTGTGATCAGAGACAAACTGTAATTCAGACCACACAAGTTTGGCATATTAACTTCATTTTAAACTACAAACAAGCTTTGGAAATGAATAAAATAAAATAAAATAAAGGTAATAGAATTTTACAGCAAGTTAGATCATTTAGTATAACAATAAAACTTCAACTAAAGAATAAAGCAACCTATACGTATGATGTAACCCAACGTAAGAAAGACTGCAGTACAAGTAATTATCCAAGACTTTTGAACCACAGTCCATCAATTTTCCAACCTCATAAAACAAAGCAGAGTGAAAGAAACAATGTTACATGTTCACATAATGCATATATGGACAGATAGAGAGTCTTCTGCTTCTTCCGTCTGAAACTTAAATAGACAACCGAACAAAAAAAAACAATATATCTTTGACTAACTGTTGCAAATGCTACTGAAATAATAAGACTCAATTTTAAAAAGAAGATTTTTTTTATTTTTTATGTTTTTTTCTTTGTTTCCTTGTGAAAGTTCTGCCCGTCTTTCTCGATCCAGCGGAGCTTGAAGTCTGTTAGTCCATCAGTCTCCAGTTTAGTGTGGAGCTAAATGAAAGATATAATTGATTAGTTTTTATGGCGGATTGTTTAAGTTGATCAAAGCACATTGTCATATGGCTTTCTGACTTAATTTTCTGTAAACACATACATGATGGCTTACAGAGTTACATAATACGATCTTCATATCTACATGTAGTCAAACAAAGCGGAGGAGATTTTATAATCCCCAGCCTTTATAAATATTAAGTATCCATTTCGGCCTTTTTTATGTGTGTGATAAATAGTGATGTTGTACAATCTGTCATGTGAAGTTTTTTTTGTACAATGAAGTAATTTTTAGTTTGGTATAGAGCTGATTTCCTATAAGTTATTGAGCTAAAAACGGTTTACTTTAATTGATGAGTTTCTGCAGTATCCAAGACATTATCTACAGCCTTACAACAGTCAACAAACAGGAATATAATTGAAAAGTGCAACAAATGAATTAATTACATATGGTACGATAGTTTCAAGCCTTTTGTTTCTGTTAATTGTGGTGAATTTCTACCAACAGCCAATGGAAACGCAGAGGTAACGGAGATCTTACCTTTGACCAATAAAAAACTATTTTTAATATACAAATGTGAGCCAATAAAGAATGCATACTCTAATTTATTGATCAGTAGTAATTCTGTACACACTAAAAGATTATTTTTTCGGCAACAAAGTTTGTTTTTGTTTGAATAAGTGGAGATACTGACTGCATAAAACTTCACACCAGAACCCTAAATTAACAAATTCTGCACTTTCCCTTTAGATCTGCAAACTCGAGAGGACACACCAGTTTTCAGGCTTCCTGTACCTGCTGTAAAATCTGCTGCTGGGCGTCGGGGTCATTAAGGTCGGCCTCAGACTGGAAGCGCAGCTTCAACTTCCTACTGGATGGAATCAGAGTCTGACAGATGAACTCGTGCTCTTCGCTGCAGTCAACATCCCACCAGGTTCTGGTGCTCGTATCCACAGCAGCGCAGGAAGTCATGTTGGTGCTGCCTTTGTTGTCAGGCTGGCCCGTCTCCCAGTTAGTGAAGGTCAGTGGGCTGTGGTCAGACCAGTTAGCCCACAGGTCTCTGTAAAGGCCGATCCAGTGGTTCCTCCCAATCAGTGGGTGGATTTCATTGTTCTGAGACGAGTTCCACACTCTGACCAGGTCCGTGTGTTTGGACCGACAGTAGTTCTTAGCATCTTCCCAAATCATGAATGTAGACACCACAACATGTTTCGAAGGGCCATGTTCTACAAGACAAGAGAAAGACAGCAAAAAAATAAACTTCACTTATGTTCTCTTTTTTACACTCCTACGGTCATAGAATGGCACTCAGGAAAAGCACAGAAAATGTCCTGGTGAGACAGTGGGAAAGTGGGGGCTCGTCCGGTCAGACCGTCAATTTCTGAAACCGCGCAGAAAAAACAGACAATCCTCACTCATTCTCTTCTTTCAAACTACTATAGATGTTTTTCTTCTACTGTTTTTAATCCTAACCATTGTCTGACCTAAATATATCCATTCATTATGTTTTTTTTGTCTTATGTTTTCATCTTTGCCACTAGATTTGGAAAATGAAAAGTGGAGTAACCTACCGTCAAGGCAGATAAAAGGGCGCTCTGTGTTGCAGATTTCATCCCGCCATCCTCCTACCCAATTCATCACTATGCAGCTCTGCTTGCCGCCATAGTTGTCAGGCTGATTTTCTTCCCAAGGTCGGAAACTGTTATTGTCATCGTCTCCCATTGTCCACTTCCAGCCCGTTGTGTTGTCGTAAAGCCCGATCCAGGCAAACTGTCCGGATCCCTGCAGTTCCAGGAGCAGTCTGTCGTTTTCCTCTGGGCTGTCCACGGTGGCCAGGTCGGCGTACGTCTCTCTGCAGTACCGCTGAGCCGCAGCCCACGTCTTGGGGATGCTCACATAGTGGTACTTGCGAAACAAGTTGGTAGCCAGAACATAAACCCCCGCTGGACAAGAGATTTTTTTTTTAATTACCTCATCTTATAACACATCTTCTGTAAACAATCAATATTATATAAATATAATCTAGATTTAGAATATATGCTGTGAAACCAACAGTGGGAAATGAGCTCAAACAGCAAAATGAACTATCTTTATCTTACTGTACCGTTTAATATTTAGCCTTTTTTTTTCTTGCAATAACAATTAATAGTACCTTAACTGTCAACGTAAAAAAACTAAAGCATTCATGGTAAGATTACAGTGGAGTGACAAGGTCTGAATCGCTTCAAAATCACTCCTGTATGACACTGGAGGTACTGAAAATAACTTTGGAGAA